TTACCCTTGGTCTCTTCACGCATCATACGATATACATCGAACTGATAATCTCCTGTAAACTTATACAATAAATTATAAATATTTTTAAACGTTATAAATAAAGATTCACGTACCTTGGCCTGTAAAATATGTTTCATCTAGTAGATCAACATGAATAATCTCATTTTCTGTGGTCAAGCAGGCAATAAAAGAAACGTGCATTAACACAAAATCCTAAGCATAGAAAATATTGAAATTATTTTTATACAAACCACGTTGCATCCGAGATAATGTGTAGTCAATTATAAAAGCTCGTATACCACCTGTAGGAACTTGCACATTGACTTCCGCTGAGGGTAATTCATATGATACAACCTGATTCTTTGTGGGTTTTATTGTAATATTACCCCAATGTAAATCCCTATGCTTTAAACTGTAAAATTAAAATGATTGTAAAATTGATTGCACAATTTATATAATTGAAATAACATACTTCGAAATTTAGGGACTATAAAAATAATTAAAATTTTACATGTTAATAATAAATTAAATTAAATTTATGAATATCATATAATATGACAATATATGCAAACCTGCTCTGCTTGAGCTAAAGCCCATCCAACTTGAGAAAGTAAACTCCAGGCTTGTTCCCAATTTTTTAGCTTAAAGTTTTCAAGGGAAATTCCTCCGTGCTCAACAACGAATATCACATAAAGCTGTTTGGCATCGAAATAGTCTTAATTACACAAAATGGTTTACATTATTAAGAATTAATTAAGAGCACAAATGAAATATAAAATTAAATCATGTAAATACCTGGGCGTTCATTTTCCGAATTAAATTCCACATCCCATCTATCCCATTCATCGAGTAATTCTATGGGATATTTACCACAACATATGCCAACACTAATATGGAATTTATTATCAAGATAAAAAGTATGTTTTAGAGGAAATAAAATATAATATTTTGTCTTGTACCTGTATAACTGCAAGAAACCGACTCTTAGCGAAGAATCAAGTCCAGTCCTTCCTCCTAGTTCACGTGTTATTTTAACTTCTTGAGAGATATCCTTTATAGTACATTGCGCTTCACCGTTGACTAGAACCTCTGCTCCGCGTCCAAATGGAATAATCTTAAAGACACATTTTGTTTTTACCGAGGTGAATTTGGGCGCATAACCCGCGAATACCTCTGAAAAGCTTGCCTCTCCAATTTTAACCACGTTTTTCATGCTCCTAATAACGAAGTTAAATATTTTATATGTACGTGACAACAAATTGGTAAATGATATACAGTAGTTTGCAGAAAATAACGAAAAATTTCTCACTCTAATCCTAAAAATTCCTGAAAAGAATAAATTCGCGTTTGTTCGCATATTGTTAATAGTTCAATAATTTCTGGTTCTTGAACTTTATTTTTGTGAAGAGATCTAGCAATCTTAGAGATCTTAGTCGTTGTAACTTCAGTATCATGTTCGTTATTAGAATAATACACGTCCTTCTTGTTTGATAGCTTTAAACTACTCTTAGAAGGTTTATCAAGTTGTACTTCTTTCAGTTCTCTAGATATAACTTCAATCCTATGGTCTATCTCGTGAACTTGAGGAGAGTTTTCTTTAGTACCATCGAACGGAG